ATTAATTGAAAAATTACTTTGAATAATTGTAAAAAATAAATGAATTATTTCAGTGTTATAAAGTGTTATGTGTATGTAAATAAAAGTGACCTCTTTTATCACACACTATATTAGAACTGACTGGCCTACATTAAAAAGGGTTTTAAAAAATTCACATTTTTTTTTTAATTTTTAAAAATTACAAAAGAGAAAAAGAGTTTTTAAAACCGTCTAAGGTATGTTAAATAGATGAATAAAAATATTAATATAAAACTTACAGCTACTCGTTACAAATCCAAATCAGATTCAGAAAATGAACTTTCAGAACCAAGATTTATAATAACTGGCTCGATTATTTATCATAATATTGTCAGCTTCCACATTTTTTCCTTTCTTTAATAGTGTGATTTACTGCCTTTTCCCAGTTTTTCAGGTTTTACATTATTTACGGCCTCCAAAAACAACTGTTTAACATCATGAATTTTAAAAGTGGTATTTTTTCTTGAAACTTCACTCTTTATCTGTGCCCATACCTGTTCAATCGGGTTTAATTCACAATGATATAGTGGGGATCTAAGTACTGTCATTTCACGATTTTGGCAATTTCATCAATTTCGTATTTTTAAAATTTTTCTTTATGAAGGGCACACAACAAATAAAGTTCCTTTCTTATAGATCCGGGATGGTGCGTAATATTTTTTAAACTCAGCCAATTCTGCAAGTCTTTTTTTAACCACTTGGTTGTGGGCAGTCCTTCTATAAGTTGGAGTGATAACTTGCATTATCCATTACTATTACACAGTTCTTAGAAAGAAGATATATCATTTGTTCGAACCATTCTTGAAAGACATCAGCGTTAATGTCTTCATGGTAGTCACCGGTACGAGTTGATTCAAAAGTTAATAAACCACCTTCAACAAAACCGTCTGAACTGCCAATGTGTACTATTATCAGCCTGCGTCCCTTTCCTGATGGTGGGTTTAAACCAGTAGATAAGTTATTTACAAAAGCGTGCCTTTGACTTGTAACAGTTTCATCCTGCCAAAATTTATTTGGTGTATGACCCTCGTTGATCCATGTTTCATCAAGATAAAATATTTTTCTTTTTTGGTTTCTCATTTCCTTTATGGTTTTTAGAAAATGTCTTCTCTATATGACAATATCGCGTCTTTCTAATAAAATAGACTTTCTGGGATTCTTTTTCCAGCGGAAGCCTATTTCTTTTAAAAGTTTCCATAACGTATTCGATCATTTTTGGGTAATCCTTATCATCTCGAACTGAGACAAGAACTTTATCCAATGTTGGAAATTCTTGTCTAAAGAAATTCATGCATTTCCGTCGTCCGAAAGTCTTCTTTAAAATGATATTCTATTTGAAATTTGGTTTCCTGGAGCATTACGTGGCATTTGAAAATACATATTTCTCTTCTTTAATAACTCTGTAAATCGTAGATTTCCAACACTAAGTGTACTGCTACTAACTCAACGGTCTCATCAACACTTTCACATAAACGTTTGTCTGTAAATGATTTAAAACAATTAAATATTAATGTTTTCTCAATAACCGTTAAAGGACAATTTTTCGGCGACTTGCAACTGAAGTACCTACTTTTAGTGAACTGTTAAGAATTTTGAATACGCCACTTGGACCTTCTACAAAATGGAAAAACCCACTATCACATTTTCTGTGGAATAAGTTTAGAAGGTAATTATCTAGTCAATTACTGTCCTAGATTCCTGGAATTAAAGAATTAAAATGTTTGATTGTTGAAACCCTTACTTCGTGGAATGCACTCATTTCAGATAAAATAAAACGTTTTATTTTATCTAAAGAATTAAACTTTATTTTGCAAATAGGTGGGTACTTATTAAACTTTTATTGGTTATATATAACCAATAAAATAAACATCTTACATTTCTTGCAAATTCATTAGTACCTGTTAACCTCCATCACTCCGACACTGGCAACCTTATTTAGGGATTAGTAACCCTCACAACTATTGTATTCTATTCTGCTCCAACCTTTATACCTGGTGGTCATACTCAATTTAAAATTGTTTTCCTATATACTTCTGTAAACTTGTGACAAATATCTGTTTTTCATTGAGTCACCCGTATCAACAGTTTAGGGATTTGCATACATAATTTATTGTTTTATTACTCTCTCATACATAAAAATACACTATAGTTTATATCGTTAAGTTACTCCAAATGTAGGCAGCCAACTTAAACTTTTTGTTAGTATTTAGCTGGAGTTTCTTGAGAATATTTTTAATAAACGTTTAATATTTTCCAGTTAATTTATTATTTTTTAAAAGTGATATTTCAAATGATATTTAATCACAAAACGTACATAATATTGTATTATATAATCCTCATAATAAAGTACGTTAGATAAAAAGGTAAAATCCCGGGTCGTCCAAAACTAGCTTCTGATAAGAATAATAAAATATTATGATATTTTTTACTTATATTTTTGATGGTATTGGATTATATTTTTGATGAATGATATTTTTGAATAATAATATGAATATTATGATATTTTTTATCTAATGTACTTTATTATGAAGATTATATAACACAATATTAAGTACGTATTCTGATTATATATCATTTGAAATAATGCTTATTCAGCATTATTATTACTTTTTAAAAAATAATAAATTAACTGGAAAATATTAAACTGGTTTATTAAATATATTCTCAAGAAACACCGGCTAAATGCTAACAAAAAGTTTAATTTGGTTGCCTACATTTGGCGCAACCTAACGATATATTATAAAGAAACGCAAGCTGGAATACTTCGGTCACATTATGAGACACCCTGAAAAATATGATCTTTTACATCTGATCATTCAGGGAAAGATCCAAGGTAATCGTGGTTCTGGTAGACGAAAATGGAAAATCAACTACATCGTTATTTAGAGCTGTTGTCAATAAAGTCACGATGGTGAATATGGTAGCCAACATGATATCCAACGATCGATAACGGTCATGGAACTAGAAGAAGAAGAAGAACGATATAAACTAAATTACCGGAACTTTTTTATCAAATATATTTTTATATACAATAGAAACTTACTTTCTTTATATGTGCTATAAATTTCTAAGTCATAGTATAAGTTTGCAAAGGAGGTCGACGAAATACTCTAATGAAATGCGCTATGAGCACGTGTGCTTGGTTGTATAGTAATTTCCAGCCACTTCTAGTCTGTCAAAAAGTAACTAACTTCGTAAAAACATAATTACTAAAATCACTAGAAAGTTAGGACTGGGATTAGCGAACCGAGTTTAAGTTGTGTAATGCTTCATCTTAGCTGTGACATTAAAATCATACATAAAATAATTAAATGTTTATTGTTATTTAAGTATGGTATATTTAAAACCCAAAAAATAGATTATGCTATTTTAGAAGGCTTATATTAATTCAATTTCAGTACTTATGTAATTTTTTCTTTGAGCCGCTAACAAACTATACTCCATTCCACGAATATACGACTGTTTTAAATTCGCTTTAAGGTGTCGATTTAAATGGTCCAATGTACTGAATTGTACAATAGTAAATTCTCCCCATTTTTAAAAATACTGTTACGATAGATATAAACCTTAGATTTAAATATGAAGTCATGATATAATATAAAGTTAATAGTTTATAAAACAGTTGTAATTCAGATTTTAAAGTATATAATTACTATCATGGAGTTTATTTTTTCATTTCAATGATTTCATCGTAAACAAGTTGGTTTTTGAATTATGTGATTTAAACGAAATGTAACAATACTTGAGTGATCAAATAGTGTAAATTTTTTAGTCGAATATTTAATTAATATAAAAAAAACAAAAATACTTACTTATTCACTTATTCTCTTAATCTTCTAAAACTATCATCAACGATCAGATTCACAGCCATAATCAGTCGGCGATATATGAAACTGTATATAAATTTTCGTTACTTTTTAATATCTGTAACGACTCGGTACTTTAACTATCAATAGCCGGTATGTTATACCCGTTACTTTGGGAACTTTTAAGGGTACATAAACTTAAAGCAAACAAATATTTAAAACTAACAAAGTGAAATATTAGATCCTTTTTCTGGTTTGTGTTCTGTCTGGAACCATCGTTCTGTTAATTTCTTTTCACTTATATTAAAAATAGTATATTTCTTTTTATTACAGTTATAATACCTAATAAAGTAATAAATGTGTTATATCAAAGAAACCGGCACGCCTCCTTGGTGTTTATATTTCACGAAAAGCTTACCCAATGTGTGATGAACACATTTGGCTTAGATGTCATACTAGTAGACCTTTTTTATTGGAATAATGATTAGACCAATTGACCTTCACACTTCTACTTGCACAGTAAAATATTCGTTGTCGCAGTAACCAAAACAGTCGTATATTCGTGGAATAGCCTATAAATAGTTTTATTGAGTACTGACTGCATCATTTAAGCTGTGAGCCACTGTATGTGCTCTAATATCATTTATATCACTGTAACATATAAGTAGATCTAAAAACACAATTTTTAAAATGTATTGTACCATTTAAAAAGAGATTTATAACAGGACGGTTCATATAGTGATGAATTTACCAGTATGATGGCCGCATTCCTCACATATATTATTTTATATCGTTAAAAATATCTGCACCACAAACTTTAGGCTACGATATAGAAAATGGCTACCTCATGAATCAAAATATAGTTTAATTTTACAAATTTATTAGAAACGAGCGGTGTATTACTATTTTTGGCTTGCGAACACACAATTACATTCTTTTTGACTTATCCTGTATATAAATTAAAATTTGTTTATTGTGATAATTATATTTTAACAACAGCTGCTTATCTAACAACTTAAATGTGAATAAATAATTTGTTTTCCCTATTAATGTAAAGGTTATTTTAAAGCATTTCTTGGTAAAAGGCATTTGGAATAAGGAGCTATTTTATAGAGCAGTTTCATAAAAATATATGTGTTACAAATATTTTATTTAAATTCATCTATTTATTTATAGTAACAGGATGGCGGAAGGAAGATTAGACTTTTTGATATTTGGGGCCACTGGTTTTACTGGCTTGCACTGTATTCCCTATGTATACAAATTCGCTAAAGATAATGGAAGAAATATGGCTTGGGGTGTTGCTGGACGTTCAGAGGAAAAACTCAAGGAAGCTCTCGAAAAGATGGGCAAGAAAGTTGGTAAGTAATGTATAGAAATATTTTGCATATATGATTCATTTATTTTTTTTTCCAATGTAGCTTTAACCAAAAAGATAATAAATTAATATCAGGTTGAATGCTCGAATAAATGAACTTTAATAAAATGAAAGGCAAATATCGAGCACACTTTTATTAATTAAATCTTGCCAAGTACTTTCGCTTCCTAGAACATCTTCAGAGGCAATTCGTCAATTTTGGCCTATCCAACAATTATAGAATGTCATAAACATAAAATTGTACATTACACTACACTACACAAAGACAAAAACTTTCTTCTTCTTCTTCAAGTGCCGTCTCATCAATGGAGGTTAGCGGTTATGGTGGCAAACGTTTGTCTATCTTCAGCTGCTCTTAAGAGTTCCTCAAATCCAAGTCCTGTCCAGTTTCTGATATTACGTAACCAGGACAATTTTTTTCTTCCAATTCCTCGCTTTCCTTCTATTTTGCCTTTTATTATCAACTGAGGGATGTAGTATTTCTCGTTGCGCAACAAATGCCCTAAATAACTGGTTTTTCTTCTTTTGACTGTTCTCAATAGTTCTTTTTCTAAATTGAGTCTAGCTAGTACTTCTTCATTTGTTTTTCGTGCTGTCCAAGGAATTTTTAAAATTCTACGGTACACCCACATTTCAAATGCCTCGATTCTATTCAGGCTCTTTATTTTTAAAGTCCACGTTTCGACTCCGTAGAGAAGAACAGACCAGATAAAACATTTTACAAGTTTTAATCTCAATTTAATATTTATATGTGTATCGCAGAATAGAACGCGCATCTTAAAGAAACTATCCCTAGCTTGAGCAATTCTCGCTTTAATTTCTTGTTCTGGGTCCAGCTTGCAATTAATCCAACAGCCAAGGTATTTGTATTGGTTTACCTGTTCTAAAATATTCCCATTTATTTTTATAGGTAAGGGGATATTCTGTTTTCTTTGGATCACCATTACTTTTGTTTTTTTTTTCGTTGATCTTCATTCCAAACTCTCGACAAGCATCCTTAAGGTGGTCTATAACCCCTGTAAGTTTGTGTCTGTATCAGCCAGTAGGACAGTGTCATCTGCATATCTTATGCTAGATATTGGTTCTCCATTAATTTTTATTCCTGTGGAAAGGTTTTCCAAGGCTTGCTTGAATAGTAGTTCCGAGTAAAGATTGAACAGCATAGGGGATAGTATGCATCCTTGCCTTACTCCTTTATTTATACTAATATTTCTAGATGTATGATCGTCGATCCTAATCTTGGCACTCTGCTCCAATATAAGTTCTTAATTAATCGGAGATCTTTACTATCCAAGTTGATGCTCTGCAAGGAATTTAACATTTTATTATGGTTTACGCGATCAAATGCCTTTTCAAAGTCTACAAAACATAGAAAGACATCCTTTTGTTGGTCGTAACACTTCTGCAGCAGTACTTGTAGTGAAAACAAGGCCTCTCTGGTCCCCATTCCGGCTCTGAATCCAAATTGATCGTATCCAACTTCTTTTTCACACCTTTTGTATACCCTATTGTGAAGTATTTTTAATAGAATTTTAAGCACTTGGCTCATAAGACTTATTAATCTAAAATCTGCGCATCGCCTGGAGTTAGCTTGTTTTGGAATGGGAATAAAAATAGATTCTAACCATTCCTCTGGTATTTCCCCAGTATCGTAGATTGTATTAAACAAAATTACTAACAAATCAATGTTATTACTTTCGATCAATTTAAGTATTTCAGGATAAACTTCATCAGGTCCAGGGCTTTTGTTGGTCTTTAATTGTTTAATGGCATATTCCACTTCGACTTTTAGAATTGGTGGGCTTTCAGTAACATTATTTATTGTAATGTCTATTCTTTCATCTCGGAACAGCTGTTGTATAAATTTTTCCCATTCTTCTATTTTATCTTTGGTGTTATGAATTAACTCTCCGTTGTTATTTACCAGTGGGCAATGTTGTTTTTTGTGGATGAATGAAAATTCTTTCACCTTCTTGTACATATTAAAGTAATCATGTCTATGTTCTAATTCTTCTATTTCTTTACATTTTTCTTCGAGCCATTTCTCTTTTGATTCTTTTATTTTCCTTCGTATTTCTGTATTTAATCGTTTGTAATCGATTGTGTTCTTATTTTTGTATTTCCTCCTTTCGTCTATCATCTTTAGAATAGCTGGTGTCATCCAGTCTTTTTTTGCCATTAATCGTGTATTTGGAATTTCTTCCCTTGCAGAATTGACGAGGATGGATTTTATTTGTTGCCAAGTTGTATTTATATTTTGGATATTTATTTGGGTTCGGTCTATTTCTGAGAGTTTTTCATTTAGTTTTACAGTGGTTTTATCTTTAATCTGTACATCTTTTAGTAGTTCCATATTAGGTTTGTTCTTCGGCTTTGCATTTTTTATTACTTTAATTCTTGTGCGAATATTTGCTACTACAGGGTTGTGGTCGGAATTTGCATCAGCACTAGGATATGTTTTTGTACTTGTAATGGAGTTACGAAATCGTTGGTTGATTAAAACATAATCTATTTGATTTCTTATTATTCTTTCTTTTGTGTGTAGCGGGGAAGTCCAGGTGTATAACCTACGTTGAGGTAACTTAAACCAAGTGTTTGTTGCTATCATATTGTGTTGCTGGCAAAACTCTAATAGTCTGTCTCCTCTTTCATTTCGTTCTCCTAGTCCGTATTCTCCTACGATATTTTGGAATTTCCCTCTTCCTATTTTAGCGTTAAAATCTCCTAGGACGATGTTAATATCTTCTTTCTTTGTCAATTTCATGAGCTTTTGTAGATCTTCATACCATTCTTCTAGTATGTCATCTGGCTTATCTGCGGTTGGTGCATAGACCTGAATAATATTCACATTAAAGGAGAACTCCTTATTTGCAACAGCATTGCTCTGTCAGAGAGTGGTATAAAGTTTGAAACTGCGTTACTCAAATCATCGTTTATTATTACACCTACTCCATTGAAATGTTTTGGATCATTGTTGCCTGAATAATAGAGTGTTTTGTTCATAATTTTTGTTGTTCCTGAGTTAGGCCATCTAACTTCACTCAGACCTAAAATATCTATATTCAATCTGTTCATTTCTTGGCACACGTTTGCTAGCTTTCCAGCCTCATAAAGGCTTCTGACGTTCCAGGTCGCTACTTTGACGTCATTGTTTGTTTTAGTTTTGTATTTGTTTTTGTTCCTCCCGGGGATTCTTAGCACCCCTGAACATTTAAGTTCTGCCGGGCACTGGGGGCCATCGATTTAGTTCCATTTACCATCATAACTTTCTTGGGAAAATTAATGAGGTGGTTTCCCATTGCCTTCCTCATGTTTTCTGTCGGGGTTTTCTCCCTTATCCGGAGTGTTCCAGTTTTAAGGCGCCGGAAGCTCGCCTTTCGCCCTTTCCCGTTAGCGTTACCCAGGAAGTACCACGTGGAGGTGGGAATCGGACTTGCTAACAGACGTAATGTTTAACTATTCATCCAGGTTTTATTGCCACATACCTTCCGGTGAGACATGTGACCCCAGAGGTCTATCGTTAGCCATTCACTTCCCAAACACTTTAAAATTTTTAAAACAGGCGAAGGTACATTATGGTCGGCATATGATCTCTCCTTATGCCGACCATAATATATAAAGTCTTTCCATGATTTCTGTGTCTGCTCTCATAACATGTCAAAAGTATTTTAATTGTTGAAGAAAGACTTTGCTGGATAGACGTTAGGCGATCGCAAACTAGATCTTGGCAACTAGATCCAGGCGACAACATTTACGCGCCTTTATTTCAATGATTTTATTTTTTATTATAAATTTAATACGTGTATATGTTACTTCTTCTTCTTTATTAGCAATTTTGCTTGTTTATTGGCAAATTAATACCTCTATGGAAGGTTGGCACTATATCTTTTGCGCGATCGTTTGATTCTTCTAGTAATTTAGATTTAATCATCATCAGTAGCTCGACAACACTTTCTGGGTCATGGCTTGTTCTAGGATTTTCCGCCATTCTGTTCTGTTCTTTGCTTTGTTTTTCCAGTTGGTAATCCTAAGTGTTTTCAGATCTTGTTCCACTTGTTCCATCTATCTAAGTTTGGGTCTTCCCTTTGACCTTCTCCCTACTGGTGTTTGCCTCATTATATGTTTTGGCGTTTCAGTCTCCAACATCCGTTCAACATGGCCCATCCAGCGCAGATATCCGATCTTTATGGATGTTACGATCTCGGGTTCATTGTATGCTGTGTATAGTTCAAATTATATCTTCTGCGCCTTATGTCATTTTCCTTTAAAAAAAAAGAGGTTAGTCTTCGTAAGTGGGTATATTTATTTAAAAACCCTTAAAAGGGCTACATAAAAAAAAACAAACGTTTTCGGACTAAACAGTCCATCATCAGGTTTAAAATCGCTAGGTTAAAATGCCTGAGCCACCAAAAATACATGGGTAAAAACCCTTTAAATTACATATAGTTATAAAAGATTATACATCTTGTTGTTAAAAAACTGTGATGTTCAGTATTAAATTAAATATGACTTCAGGTAACATACATTGTAAAAATTGAGTTCCAGAGCCGGGGAGAAAACCTCTACGCACGGAGAACAGCTGGAAACAGCTGGAACAGCTTAGTTTCCAGCAGTTCTCCGTGCGTAGAGGTTTTCTCATGTTAAAAATGGTTCTTTCCTGCCTAGTCTATGCACACTTCTTCGTTTGAGGTATGCGATGTCCATGAAATTTTGAGTATTCTCAGGTAGATTCACATTTCAAAGGCCTCCAATTTATTTACGGTTGATGTTTTAAGGGTCCACGTTTCAACTGCATATAGAAGAGTCGACCAGACGTAGCATTTTGATAAACGTAGTCGAATTTCGAGTTTTATTCGAGAATCACAAAGCAGTTTTTTTATTTTTTCGAAAGATTTTCTGGCCTGTTCTATTCTCGATCTTATTTCTAGATCAGGATTTAGGCTGCTATCGATCCAACATCCCATGTACTTCAATCTATTGACCTGTTCTAAAATGTGCCCATTTATTGTGCAAGGTTGAGGTACGTTTTGGTTTTTTCGGATTGACATAACTTTGGTTTTTTTAATGTTTATTTTCATACCAAATTGCTCACAGGTCGCGCTGGTCTTGTCGATGAGTCGTTGTAGACCTAAGTCGGAATCCGCAATTAACACTGTATCATCGGCTTATCTGATACTGTTGATATTTACGCCATTCACATTGACTCCATCCTTGGAATCCTCCAATGCTTCTTTAAATAGAAATTCGGGGTAAAGATTAAACAGCAGAGGCGACAGAACACATCCTTGTCTAACTCCCCTCCTAATTTCTACTTCTGCGGATGTGGAACCTTCGATCCTAACTCTGGCGTTTTGGTTTCAGTACAAGTTTTTTAAGAATTTGATGTTTTTTCCATCTAAACCGACTTCTTGCAAACGTTCTAATAGTGTGACACATACTAAAACGAAACTTAGAATGAAAATTCTATTAGTATGTATATTTATTTCATTTTCTTCAATTTTTAGATGCTGACCTATCAGAAACTACCATTATTGTAGCAGACGTTAAGGATTATGACTCTTTGGTTAAGATGGCTAAAAGAGCGAAGGTGGTGATTAACTGTTGTGGTCCATATAGATTCTTTGGATATCCTGTTGTGAAAGCTTGTGTAGAGGCTGGTACTCACTATGTGGATGTAAGTGGGGAGCCACAGTTTATTGAAACTGTTGAGTTGGAGTATAATGAACTTGCTCGCGAGAAAGGTAAGAGCTTTTAGTTTTGCCCTCTAAAATAGGTAGAGATTTCTTGAATATTATGTATTTATATTTTGAAAATTTTGTTATTTCTAGTTTTATATTTTTAAATGATTAAAAGGTTGCCAATGTGAGTCCATAGTACTAGTATATGTGAAATGAGTCAGTACTTACAATCTTAAGTAGTTTTTATTTAATAACGTTGGTAAATTTTGGGCCATTGGTTTCAAGGCTTACAATATTTGCCCCATCATCAGGCCCCAGTACGTTATTTTTATTTGTATTAAAAACTAAAAGCTAAAACAAGAAATTGAGTGAGCAGCTACAACATTAATTGAGAGTGATATTGACAAACCAAGTATTGTATTGGGACATTAGTGCCATTGGGGATCACCAATTTGATGGAATTGAATTTAATTTAAATTTTATTCTGCGACGAAACAAATTGTACTTACGTGTCAGATACAGGAAAGCTATATAAACTAAGGTTTATAGAGCTTTCTTTATTGCGGATAAATTGGGTTAATCGAATAAGAAATAAAATAGTTTTGCTTTTAGGTATTTACATCGTGAGTGCATGTGGCTTGGACAGTATCCCCTGCGATCTTGGTTTGGTACACTTGGAAGACAAATTTGATGGCGTTATCAACTCAGCTGTAACTTACATAAATACCTGGAATGAAGGAAACAAATCCTCCTCCGGTCCTGCTATCAATTATGGGACATGGCATAGCCTGGTTTATGGGCTTAAACATGCCAAGGAATTATCCAGTATACGAAGAAAATTGTATCCTACGAAATTACCAAGTTTTAAACCTAAATTGGAAACTACGTAAGTGTAATATTCGTTATGTGTATTTGAATTTAAAACAATTAGTATGGTTCTTCTCAGACCCTTCTTTCAGTGTGTAACGAATATATTTTGCCTACCTCAGGGTAAGATTATGGGGGTAAAGATAGGGCAAGCAAAATAAACGCTACTTGTGCGAACGGCACTCAGGGTTTGTTAGGAGAGCTGGGTTCGTGGATAAGTAAAAGATAAGGGGTTGGATTGGGGCAACTACAAAAAAATGAAATAAAGGGTCATGAATTTCTTGGGACAAACAAAACAAAAATAAACAGGAAACACCTCTAGTAATTTAGTATAGGGCGCCACTTTGAGGTGCCTAATTATACCTATTACAACCACTAGTTGTAACTAGGGAAATAATTATAAAAAAATCAAAACATATCTGGGCGACATTTTTGTAACGATAACTTGGGATACTATTAAAAAAAAGGATTAATTAAAAAAAAATAGACAAAATGGTAAGAAACAAAATTTAACATGTATTGTTGTGTCATACCACAAACAGTTACACAAATACAGACAGCACAAAAAATGCTATATTAGTTACAGAGATTCTTACCAAAATAATAAAGAAAACTTACATGTGTTATATTGATTTACAAACTCAGGAGATGCTACAAAAACTTTCAAATGTTACTGAGGTATAAACTGTGGCAAATATAAAAATATTACAAATAAAAAAATTATCTTCTTAAACAATGAAAGCAATTATTATTACCGTAAAACAGTTTCGAAACACAATTCAGATTTCCGCTTTAATCTGTGCTTTCTAAAAATTGCAAAGCAAAACAGACGTTGATAAAGGTGTTAAAAGAGACGTGGGGAATCTAAAATTTGCATTCCACGACACATCTTATCAACTAAGCAGAAATCCTTAGCGAATTGGTTTCTAGTACTCGTACAGAGTAAATCCGAAAAGGATTTCTGGTTAGTTGATAAGATGTGTCTTACACTCTTTAAAAATATACGTCCAAGAAGCATTGAGGAATTGGAGAAATAATGTAGATTTATGGGCATCGAAGTGGGACAAGAAACTCTGTATACATTGTTGTTTGCAGATGCTCAGGTGGTGGTTGCAACGATGAGGAAGATTTAAATTATATGAATCGAAAATTATTTGAGGATATGCCAATGGGGGCTTACTGTAAACATAAGCAACACAGAATATTTAAAATTTGGAGGAAATACACAGATCTGAGGCTTGAAAACGCAGTCATAAAAGGCTGCAACCAGTATAAATATCTCGGAAGCATCATATCAGCCGATGGCAGAGTTAAGATTTATGTACAAAACCGAATAACCCAAGGGAACAAATGCATCCGAATACTGAATTCATTACTGTGGTCTAATACAATAAAGATTGCATACCAAACTTCGCGTATACAGGGCAATTGTAGAAACCAATTACCACATATGGTGCCGAATGTTGGACGATGACAAAGAATGAACGAGATAAAGTAGACGTTGTGGAAATGGATTATCTTAGAAGGTCATGTCGAGTCTCGAGAATGGAAATAATCAGGAATGAGGAAATACGAAAACCGTTACAGGAATTAGAGATATCTCTTCAGATAGAAATACAAGGAAGGCAAATTACAATGGTTATGGTCATGTGATGAGAATGGAGGAGGAGCGGTGGCAAAGAAAGCCATTAATGTATGTTCCGCCAGAAAGAAGGAAAAGGGGAAGACCACCAAATTACTGGAGAAAGAGAAATTACAAAAACAATGCAATCTAGAGGCTTAGAAGAGGGAGATTGGAGAGATAGGAAAAGATGGAGGCTGAAATGCGGGATAGCGGCATATCGCCGTTATATGATGATGATGATGATGATAAGATGTGTCGTGGAACGCAAATTTTAGATTCCCCACGTCTCTTTTAACACCTTTATCAACGTCTGTTTTGCTTTGCAATTTTTAGAAAGCACAGATTAAAGCGGAAATCTGAATTGTGTTTCGAAACTATTTTACGGTTTTATTGTCAGATGTCGCTATTGCGTCCGTATTGAACCATTTTAGTGTTGCTTCTTAAAAGACAGAAAATATTGATCTTTTACGTTGAGAACACCTTTGAATAACTGTTCTGATGAGACCTATTAGGTCGAAATACGTATCAACAGATACAAAGGCGATTTTTGCGTGAAATCAAATATTTGCTGTCTTTTCACAATTATTATTATTTTTTTAAATGTCTATCTTGAATTTAAAATTTAGACACAGAAAAAGTTACCTGAACCTCACTAAACTTTCACTACTGACTGTCTGTGGGCGGGACATCATGCTGGAAATTATAGTGGGGGCAGATCCGGGATGACGACCAGGGATAAGAAGATGAGGGCGGAAGCCAGCACGGCTTGGAACACAACCTTGAAAACTCGTCTCCTTCAAATACTGGAAACAGGCACAGCACAATGGCAACATGAGCCATCTTTAAAAACTATTGTAAAACTGCTCAATACCAAGTATCCAACTGCTACTGTCACTTCATGCTATCATTTCCATGGACAAGAAAAGGAAAACGAAAAGATTCTCGAATTTTGAAAATAAATTCAGACTCCAACAAACTGAACACGCCTTGATCAGTGGCTGGCTTTGCCGAGTGTCAATGAAATTATCTTTAAAATTAATTCACATTACTTGGAATAACAAACACTTGACAGGATTAAAACGCAATTTTTTTCCAACGCAGTACATCTGGCGGCTTAAATCAAAGAATAATCATCGAAAGGAAAATATGCAGCTGCGAAATAAATAAACAACTCTAAAATTATTTATATTACTCGAGCCGCCTAAGAAGGAACTGAAATATATTTCGGGGTATTTTAACTTAGAAAAATATAGACTAAGAAACATGGAAAAATTATTCGTTTTTTCAAACATATATGAGGGGATTTCAATATATTACACATACGAGGGGATTTCAATATACACCAAAGAACCAATGAAATTGAAAATGCTACAAGTGGTCCATTTTTTTTCGAATATATAATAGATATCGACAAAAATTTGTTGAGCCCACTGTTCTTTATTCGCGTGTCATCATTTGAAGCATACCAAAATAAGTCGAAAATTTACTCAACCCAACAGCAAGTTACAGAAAGTGGCTACTGCTCCGATCACGGATAATAAATAGAATATAAAATTTTATTACTATTTAAATGGGAATAAGCCACAATTAAAGATTAAAGTACGTTTATTGACGTTTCAATTTTCCACTTCGGAAATCGTTCTTTAGAGACCGATTTCCGAAGTGGAAGTGGTAGATTATTAGTTTTTAAAATTCATTTAGAATAGATATAACACCTACTGTAAACATCTCTTTGGTATTCACATGAATATTTTGAATAACTTATGACTGTATTGAAGGAAACATACTTCTAAACAAATTAAGTGATGCATAAAATTCAATAAATTTTTTTTATCAGTTTATGATAAAGAATTGGCGTCACGGACCCATTGGACCCACCCTGTCCGGATAAGGGTTAAACACGTCTGAAATAGACGCTTACAATAGCTTTCGACTGAAAGAAGGCTTTGAGAAGAACCACAGCTACCTTTACTTCCAAGCCATGAAGTAAAAAAGGCAACACCGCATTCTATGACGTCGGTAGTCCGATAATCAGCTGTAAGGTCTACCAGAAAATTAAACTAATTTGAATTTTAGGAAACTGATATTTTGAAAACTTCAGTTCGTTACAGAAATATTTTTAGGGAAATTAAATTAATAAAACGTTATATTTACCTCATAAATATATATAAAGTTTTATTATTATTTAGGTTATATTATCAATAAAATAATCACTAGAGTAAAATTTATTGCACTTAAAATACAGTGTTAAACAGTTAATCTTACAATCAAATGCAGTCAAGAATCTCTAGAAATTTTAAATATTAAGTACTTAAGCATATAAATAACACAATACCATTTAAAAAGATTATTAAAAATACAAAAGATATAAAATTTGTTAAGTATTGTTAGTAAAAACTTAGTATAACTATTATGATTAAAAAATTCACCCTAAGAAATCAGACACAATATAAATATGGTTCTAAAATAATCTAATTGAAAATTAAATATTTTATTATTTACTTATATTTTTTGTTGAATTTTCATACTTAGGTATACGAAAGCAGCAATTTTAAATATGAATAGGTTTTTTTTGTCATATAGACCAAGTTAAAAGAGGTATACCTACATGAAAAATGTGTTGAATGTAACATACCATTTATAACTTGTATATCGATTTAAAATAGCCTATATTCTCAAAAGATTTTTGAACGTAATACTCAAATTTGTTATTTATCTAAAAAGCAGATCTAAATGAGAAAGTAAGTTCTCTAATTGTGACCATCTTGTTAATTTACTATATTGTAAAATCCATTTCAAATCATTACTACTTAATCTATTCTTACCTACATTGACGATTACACTAAAATTACTACTAACTATTACATTAAGTATTACACAAATATTATCACACTTTTGTCCCAACTGATTAATGTTTAATACATAGAAATATACACAGTCACTTGTAATTTTACTTGTCCAGTTTTTCAATGGGATATTATTGTCTAAGTCTCTTAAAAATGATTCAAACGAATCTATTAAATCATTGTCTAAGAATTATGTTATCGCTTGTTCCCTCTTCTTATGCAAAAAGTTTCTTCTGTCTTCGGGATTCCTTCTTTCTTTAGTACGATGAACAGTTACATATGATGGTACTTCAGGAAATATATTAGGAACTGCATTGCCTTTTAATTTGGGAAATATTAACTTTTCAATGTGTACATTTCCATCTTTATCTTCTCATTGTTCAGTCCGCTGAATATCATCTTCATGAAAATGTTTGGCACATACTACGGAAGATTTGGTAATTGTATAGCCTTCTCTATGAATAGAGCATAACCCAGTATACCTTCTTTGGGGATCTTTGGGAAACGAAAACGTACTTTCTGCCTGTTTCGTTTTTAAAGTACTGGCGTAATTGGTTTTGCAACCAGGTACACAACAATGCCAGGGCATCTGTAACAAAAAACAAAAGTATTATTATTGTTGTTTTTAGTTTACATATTTTGTAACAAGAAGCAAAAGTATTATTATTTTTAGTTTGTTTTGTAGGTTATATTTATACTTGCCTTTTAAATTGTCGTTAAGAATCTTCTAAAAGTTTTAAATTTAATAAAATTTCACTTACATTAATATTTTCTAATTGATTTAAACACAATTTACAAATAAAACATTCGAATAAAGTTAAAAAAACACTAAATTCAACAAACTTTACAAGCCTTCCTATATGAAATGTTAAACAAAACAAACCACGGTCGGACTACTACGCGTTGTTGCCAAATTTCTACTCCATCGCTTGGAAGTAAAGGTGGCTGTGGAAGAACCATATTATGTTGTATTATAAATATGATCTTAAAAGAATTTACACATTCTTTGTAGTAAAATGTAATGGAAATGAAATAGTACATCCATGCTATTGCTTAAATCGAATACAAAATTTAACATATTTTTGATATTTTAGAACGAGACCTCACCGTTCAAGTATTGTGGATGGTTGGGTCCTACCGTTCCCAGGTGCCGACAAATCAGTTATGAAGAGGACTCAACGATATCTGTACGAAAACCAGGATAAGAGACCAATACAGGTGGACACATTCTTTGTGTTACCAAATTTTATACAGACATTCATGACAATTATTATGTTTTTGGTTTGGACATTGTTGATCAAGTTCAACTTCGGCAAACAGCTATTACTGGACGTGAGTAATGTAGTTGTATTTATATGGTTTTACCTTGTAATTATTTTATTATAACTATTTTATTACATTTAATTATTCAACAGTTACGTAAAAATACAAATTAAGACAGTTGAAATTTCGAGCTATATTGCCTGCTATAATAAAAGTTTTTTTTAGTATCCTCACATATTTACCTTCGGAATGTTCAGAAAAGACGTTACACCGTCAGAAGAGATGATCGACTCAAGCTGGTTCAAGATAACTTTCCATGCCAGAGGATGGAAAGAAAGACTAGCCAATAAGGACGATCAGTATGATACTCCCCCTAATAAAATTGTCACTGCGTACGTTAAAGGAAAAAACCCAGGATACGGTACTACTTGTGCCTGCGTAGTCGGAGCTGCTCTCATGATACTTACCGAGAAAGATAAATTACCATCCAGGTAAGAATTCTAACAATAATTTCTAACAATTCTTTAATATGTCAAGATTGCAAATGTTTTTTGTTTATTCAGGACGAACAAGACAATTTTCATCACTATTGTCTTTCCCTTTCGTTATCTTCATTTTGATTTAATACTCTTTATTTTGCTTTCTCCCTACCTGCATCTCCTTAGTTTCGATATACGGTGTATCCGAAATGTATGGAATAAATTCGATATTTCGTAAATGAAAAGCCTTTTTAAAAAATCTAAAACACGCCGATTTTAAAGTTTAAGGCTGTTTTAGCAGTCACAGCACACTGCGATTTGAAATGGGCGTATCACTTACTTTTCTACACTGATAAGGCCAGCCGACGGTATAGCTGTTTACTCAGTGGCGCCGGCCCAAGGGTATTTTAATGACAACAAATGCATTATTCTCCATTCAAATTAGTTTTGTCGGGCACAACTTTTTTTATTGATTATCGTAGATGTTTTAAAAAGAATTATCACATTTTCAATTTAAATGTCTTAGCTAAATATAGTATTGAATAAAAATTTGTGATACGTGACTGCAAAAAACATCATGGTGTTTATTTATAATAAATTTAAAATAACATAAAAATACTATTATAAAAAAATACTTTGTCACAAACAAATAAACAATTTCGCAGTTATAGCTTGAAAATGATTTCAAATCGAACTAACTGACCGTATGTTCATGAGATTTGACGTCACGGAGAGCGATAACGATAAAATTAAGTGCCAATGATGAGTAACACGTTTCACTATTAGATTTCAGTATTTTTTAGCAATTTTCTTCAAAGTTTGAACATGCTTTTCTCGATTATTCCTGGACACAGAAAGTTGAAAAAAATCAACGATTACAGAAAAAAACTCTTTGAAGTGATGGGCGTAAAAAGTTTGGTTATAATAGAACGTTAAACTGCATAATCCGATATTTCAAAAGAACTTTCAAATAAATTAAAAAAGTAAAACCATCAGTTTCAAAGCAACATAATTTTGAATAACGTGTCCAAATTTCAAGATATTTTGTCAGTAAATAACAGAGAAAACACTATCTCTAGGTTTTGGTTGTACGATAAAACAGCCTTAATGTTCTACATTCTACAATAAAATTTCATTATACAAGGTGATACACATTAAGGTGATGGCGTCATCGGCCCTTTTTTTTTAATGTAACATCCTGTATTTTAGGACATTTTTATATTGATAAAAATGAACTAATTAAAAAAACGTATAATACTGGGGGTCCAACTGATATAATTTGAAAGATATGTAGTGACAAGCTAATTACGAATAATTAAACTTTTGTATTCAAATAAAATAAAATAAAATTAAATTAAATTCTTTATTTTCTTTTTGAACAAACATAGTTTGTATAGAATTAGTCATAAATATACATTGCTACAAACTAAACACTAAACTAGACTAAACAAGACATGAAATGAATTTAAAAGCTAAACGAAATACAGCTAATATCTAAGATCTAAAAAATTCTTCGATTGTATAAAACACTTTTTTCACATAAAAATTGCTTAAGAATACTCTTAAATACATTTATTGAATGGTGGACTTTACAACTGTGGGCAAATGATTAAACACCTGTAGCCCGTATACCTGGGCGATTTAAGTTTAATGTTACCTTTTGAAAATGGTATATAAAGTTTATTACTAATATCTAGTATTTAAATTATGCATATCACCACTCGTTTTAAACTGATGTAAGTTATTAAAAATAAAAACACATAATTCAAAAATGTATAGACACGACATGTTAAAATTTTATATTTTTTAAAATATTCTCTACAACTAGTTAGTCGGGAGACACCAGCGACACAACGCAATATTTTCTTTTGTATGACGAAAATACCATTTGCATAACCAGACATACCCCAAAAACATATCCCGTATCTTAGCCTGGACTCTACGAGCGCATAATAAATCATAATTAGCTGATTTTCCGTCAGAACATATTTTAAATTTCTAATTAGATAGTTAATAGAACTCAACTTCGAAACAACCGCTCCACAATGCAACTTCCAATCCAACTTTCGTCAATCGTTATTCCCAAAAAACTTGCCTGACGACACTGTACCTATTTGCATGTTGTTAAAAGTAAGCTGAAGATTTTCCAAGTATTTTTGTTTATGTGAAAATGTATTAACTTGCGTTTTTTCTGCATTTAGATGCAACGAGTAATCGCAAAACCAAGAATATAAAGATGAAAGAAAATTATTACATTGATGTTGTATGATTACGTTGGATTTGTTAGATAGAATAATTGACGTATCATCCGCATATATAGTGAAATTTACCGCTCTGTCCACTTGTACGATGTCGTTAATGTAGACTACAAAGAGAATTGGTCCTATTATAGATCCTTGGGGAACAAATATTAAATAAAACGATCTCATATTAAAATTTACATTTTCGCATTTGGTTATACACATAAAAAATAGAAATGTGTTCCTCAATATATTTATTTAATTACTACAGATATTAGATATGCTCGACACTTTAATTATACATTTTGAGTGCGTTGCATTTTTATGGGAAACCAAATATAATATAGCTACCAGCCCTATAATAAAAGTTTATCGTGTGGCTTTTAGAAATAAAGAACGTGTGTTTTGTGTGGTAGTTTAGTTTGAGTTGTCAGTCATCTTTAAGACACCATTTGCAACGGTCCGCGATACATATACAAAAAATACCGTCCCTTCGAGAAATAATTACGTTTAACAAAATAAATATTATTAACAGTTTTTTCTAAGTTTTATTCGATTCTATTATATTTTATTTTTGTTTCCGTGCTAAAAAGTTTATCACACACGCATACACACAACCACGGAACAGATATTATGTGCTTAGAAAATTAATTTTTATTTATTTCTAATACAAATAAATTATAATAAATAACTTGAAAGTAAGCGAGTCATTAATATATTACTTTATCTTAAATGTACGAATTGTAGCCCTTGTTGTATTTGACAGTAACCCAAACGTTATTTTTTTATGAATTCTTGTTTTTAAGTCTTCAATATTTACAGTTTTCGTTTTATAAACAACATTCTTCAAATGACCCCACATAAAATAATCCAAAGGATTGAGGTCTGGCGACCTCGCTGGCCATTCAATATGTTCGAAAAAATTTCGTTTAGGTAACTTAGAACATCTACAGCATAATGCGTAGTCGCACCATAATGTCGAAACCATAAACTTTCCACGATTAATTCTACTGGGGAATAAATTAACTAAAGTAGATACGAGATACCCGTTAAAAACTGAAGGTATGCTGGCCCGTTTAAAATACCTTCAATAAAGTAGGATCCGATGATTCTATTTCTTACAATGCCAGCCCATACGTTTATCTTTTGCGGGTATTGTGTATGATGTTCCCGCATCCAGTTGGGGTTTTCTTTTGCCCAGTATTTACAATTCTGACGGTTGATCTCGTCATTTAATGTGAATGTAGCCTTATCAAAAAAAAAAAAAAACAACTGTGCATCTAAAGGGGTGCCATTTTTCAAGTTTTATTACTTTAGTGTATTTTATTACAGTGTACCGTTGCTTTGCAAATATCGAGATCACGGCTAACCTTACGAACAGAAGTGTGTGCATCTTCTTCAAAAGCAAGTAGAACATCTAATGTATCATAATTTATAGAGGGACGACATGATTTGCGTGCATTTTTAACCGTATCATTTTCTCGAATTTTTTTTTCAATCTCACTTACTGTTGACTGCGTTATGAGTCGTTGTAGATATTTATCATTAAATAAATTACACACTTCCATCTGAGTTCGCGATTTGTCTCCATACCCAATCACCATGACTGTTTCAATTTTTTGCTTTACACACAAATTCATTTCTCCTTCGAATTAATTCTAAGCAATAATACAAAACATTGCCGACTTATTACAATTATTGTACTACTTAATTATTATTGAACGTTACTAAAAATAATTACATTTCACTAAAAACTAGTAGTAGGCTAGTTTTCTGCAATCGATAATAAATAATTTATTTTCTAAGCGCATATCTTTCAAATTATATCCATTAGACCCCGAGTATTATATATTTTTTTGAAATCAGCGCAAAATATAGGGTGTTACATTTAAAAAAGAGCGATGACGTCATCATCTTAATATGTATCATCTTTTATAATGAAATTTTGTTGTAGAATGTAGAACATTAAGCTTAAAAATCGACGTGTTTTAGATTTTTTTTAAAATGCTTTTCATTTAGAAAATATCGAATTTATTCCATACTTTACGGACACACTGTATATGTTTGTGTAAGCTTCCTAGTTACAATTTTTTAAAATGTTTTTTTTTTCATCTATATATCCGTTTTTATCTTCCGCTTCCTTTCCTTTTTCTTTTTTTTTCTTTATTTGTATTTCTCTTTATCCTTTTCCTTTGTCGTTGATTATTTTTCCTTCTTTCAACTTTCTTTGTTATTTTCCTTTATTTCTGAGTTATCTTGATTCTGTGCTTTCCATTTTTTCATTTTTGCCGTTTTTCTCTTCCTCTTTTCGTCCCTTTTCTTCCATCTCTATATCTTTTTCTATCTCATTTTCTTCTCTCTTCCTCCTTATGGTTAAGTATAGATGTATATAGATATGTTTGATATGAGGGCAAACTGTTGCAAAAATTACTTAAACTTTTTTCCGTTTTCAGTGGAGGTGTCTACACTCCTGGAGTGGCCTTTAGAAAAACCTCATTGATGGACCTCCTCTTTAAAAATGATGTGTCGTTTGAGATTGTGAGCGAAAAAGTGTTGTAAATCATATTTATTCAATATATTTAATAAAGATATTAACTTAAAATAAATATTTAATGTTAATTATGATCTGTTTTTACGTAATGTTTTCTGACTTAGTTTTGAAAATTGATTTATTTCAATTTAAATTGAGGTAGAAATATACAAATTCAATTAAACCATGGCATACATATATTTTTATATAATACTTATGCATTTAGCCATTATACTAGTTTTTTGGCCTTGTTAATGACAGTATAGAGTAATACTAACAATACAGGTCGTGAAAACCATGCATTTACACGAGTTTAGCTAATAGTTGTGTTTCCACGATCTTTGCTTTCTTTGCCATACCTCTAGATATTAATATTAATAAATATATGTATTTTTTTATTATACTTGTATACCTTATTTATTTTAATATACGTGTACTTACAGGTGGCTAGTGACTGGAACATCATTATTTTTAACAGTTTATTTTTCTAACAATCAATGAATCAACTGTATTTAAATCTTGAAAAATATTGAGATTTAAGATAAGTAACACCTCAACTCTTTTTTAAACCTTATCTGGTCATGTTCACCTTTATATATATATATATATATATATATATATATATATATATATTATATATATATTATATATTAAGAAATTAATATTTATAATGTTTAATTTATGTTTGTTTAACTAATTGGTTAGTAGTAATAAAACATGTATTTCTGTGTTACTATTTTTTTCTTCTTCCTTCTTTATTCCAGGCGAATTCCCTGTTTAAATTTAATCCACTTGCACGAACGTTGAGATTGTCGCTACATCTTTTTCGCAATCGGTATATACTTCTTCGTACTGTTAACGATTTATCTTAAGCGATTCTCACCATTTGTTTCCCCATTCAAAGATCGATTATCGACAAAATCTGTATGCCGAATTTTGCAGAGAGTACCTAGAAATGCAAGTATCTGAACAACGAATAGCAGATCAATACCGGGTAATTATCAGAAATAATCTCATCCCAAAGACTAGATGCATTACCGTAAGAACCGAAGTCAAACGGGAAAGTCATAATCAAGAGGTAGTTGGAAATCAAGCCCCTAATGAGACACAAGACTCAATTCTTGAGGTTGTCATACAAGGAACTCCACCGGATAATATCAGCAGGACAACAACGAGTTGCGCGATAGCCTAGTTAATCAAATGACACGCGTCGTACAAGAGTTTTGGAACAGAGGCAGTTCTTAGCAGACTACCACTACCAACTTAAAAGTGAACTCTTGTAAGAATCTAAGTGTGCTGTTACAAATTTTGAACACTGAAGTCCTACCCAATTACGTCGTAGAAGTCCATACATTGGAATATATTTATATGCTGATTTACTGTGCATCAACAGCAATTGCTAATGTTATGGACATTAGCATTATGTTACGGACGTTGGTCAAATCACGGAATATGTTCGAGGAACAACAAGTAGAAAAGTAAACAGAAGAGCTGAAGAAATAATGCTAACCACCGCAAGACACTCACAATATGATATAGAAAACAACACAGCACAACAATGCTTGGATACATTTAAAACAACAACGAAATCGACAATACGCTCTTTGAGAATTCCGAGAAGGCGTTCTATCGGAAACTCAATTCTGCTGCAGAAAGTGCCAATAAATCGTACCCAAGCCAAGAAGAAATTCATGAGTTTTGGGGAAATCAATTTTCCATACCAGCTTCTCTTAACATCAATTCTGGATAGATCAAAGGTACGACGCACAATTGTTAGCACTACGTTACTACTCCTTACGAACCATTTACTTCTGAAGAAATAACTGGAAATCTTCTGGACCAGACGGAGTTCAAAACTTCTGGCTTAAGAAGTTGTGGAGTGTTCATGAGTGCTTATCAGTATTAATTAATCACACTGTTTATAATCCACAGTAATTACCATCTCTTATAACCCAGAGAAGAACTTATTTAATACCAAAGGACCAAAATAACACCCAAGATCCAACCAAGTATCGCCCAATTTCTTGTGTTCCAACTTTGAATAAATTGGTTACATCCTGTGTATCCCAGCTTATCTACCAACACTGCTCTAAACAATATTATAGAGTCTCAACATAAAGGATGCGCTAGCGATTCGATGGGCTGCAAAGAACAACTTATCATCAACTCTGTCATTTCTAACCAAGCATATACCATAAAAGGAATCTCTTTACTGCTTCTATCGACTTCAAGAAATCGTTTGATTTAGTACGGCATGAATGGCTTATAGATATATTAAAAATATATGAAGTCAATGATAACATAGTGACCTTTTTAAAACATATAATGTCAGATTGGAAGACAAAAATTCACTCCAAATACCTGGTGAAAACAATATCGAAACTGAAAATATTGCAATCAACCTGGGCCTATTCCAAGAGGACTAGTTTAGTAAAGTTTGGTTTTATCTAGCGATGAACCCCAATCCTAGCTACTTAAGTGACACAGGCTTTAGCATAAAAAATAACATTCCTGTTGTGGAAAAGCTTAATCATCTATTGTATGTGGATGTTTTAAAACTATTGGCTTCCACTCGAAGCCACCTGAATCAGAGTTAAAAAAACTGTAGAAAATGTCTCTAATGATATTAGTATGTGCTTCGGTCTTGACAAGTGCCGTGTAAAGGTTATTCCACGAATATACGACTGTTTTGGATTATTACGACAACGAATATTTTACTGTGCAAGTAGAAGTATGAAAGTAAATTGGTCTAAACAGTATTCCAATAAAAATAGATTTGTTGTTAGTTTGACCACTTACACTAAATTTATTTCAGTTAATATATGTTCAGATAGACGCAAAATTTATTGTGAAATTTCATTCCGAAAATAACAAAAATTTTTACGCAAACGGTCCTACAAAATAAATACAATGAGTTCTATGAAGCCAAAATGTGTTCATAAGACATTTGGGTTGGGTTTCCGTGAAATGTAAACACCAAAGAGGCGTGCGGGTTCCTTTTATATCACACTTTTTATTACTATATTAGGTACTACAACTGTAATAAAAAGAAATATACTTTTAATATAAATGAAAAGAAATTGGCAGAAACGATGGTTCGGAAACAGAAAAAGGATCTATAATTTCACTTTTATTAGTTTTAAATATTTGTTTGATTTGAGTGGATGTACTCTTAAAAGTTCCGAAAGTAAAGGGTATAAACATACCGGCTATTGATAGTTGAAGTACCGAGTCGTTACAGTTATTAAAAAGTAACGAACATTTATATACAGTTTCATATATCGCCGACTGATTTTAGTTTTAAAAACTGTCCGTATAGAGGTGTCCGATGAAAAAAGGTGCCGTTAAGACAGAGTTTAGTGTAGTGTATTTGTTTATTGAAGCCAAAAACGCGCGCGAGACGTGTTTTAGATGTAGACAACTTTGTATTTAATGTACTTTCCTATGGTGAAGTTCTGTGAATCTGATGGTTGATGATAGTTTTAGGAGAACAAGAGAATAAGTAAGTTTTTTTGTTTTCTTAATACTAATTGAATATTCGACTAAATAAATTACACTATTTAACCTCCTAAGTATTGTTACACTTTAAATCACTTAATTCAAAAAACAACTTGTTTACAATACTAAAATCAATGATAGTAATTATATATTTCAAAATCTAAATTATAACTATTCTACAAACTATCAACTCTATATTTATATCATGACTTCATATTTAAATTTTAAGTCATAACAGTATTTTAAAAATAGGGAGAATTTATTATTGTACAATTCAGCACATTGGACCATTCAAATAGAGATCTTAAACCGAATTTAAAACAGTCGTATATTCGTGGAATGGAGTATATTAAATATAATCAAAGGAAAGGTTTAGCCCGGCGGATTCGATATGCAAGATGGTCAGAACATCGAGGCCATGTATAAATTTTTTGGAATAAAGCAAGTGCGGAAGATTGACTGGAAACAAATGAAAACTGAGATAAATATGGAGTTTATACGTTTATACAGTCAGCGAAAAGTACGAACATTACCTCACAAAGGCACAAAAACACCATCCTCGAAGTGCAGTAGACAGAACGACATTACCGTGGTATTTAGGAGGACGAGGCCTTATAGATATGTCTTCTTCTCATGACGCCGTCTCCTTTCGAAGGTTGGCGATCCAAATGGCAATTGTAGTTTTGGAAACTGCTGCGCGAAAGATTTCTGCGGATGAGCGGTCTAACCATCTCTTCAGGTCTTTCAGTCACGAGTTCTGGCGTCTTCCTACTGATCTTTTGCCCTGTACTTTTCGTTCCAGTATAACTTGAAGTAATTCATATCTTTCGTCTCTCAACACATGACCCAAGTATTGTATTTCCTCTCTTGGATTATTCTTAGTAATTCTTTTTATTTACACATGCAACGAAGTATCTCAACATTATTAACTCTTTGTACCAATGGAATTCTCAAGATTCGTCTGTATATATATCTCAAAGTGACAGAAAAACGTAACATCTAATCATTTGGATTCTAAGTTGTAGATTAAGGTCTGATCTTGTAAAAAATGTTTTCATGTTCATGAATGTTTTCGTTGCTTATTCGATTCTTTGTAGGATTTCTTTTTTTGGATTACACTGACTATTGATATTTACCCCCCAAATATTTGGAATATACCTGTTCTATTATTTTACCCTTGCCATACACATGTACGTTTATTGGTGTCTTTGAAAATACTAAAGTTTTAGTTTTGGAAACGTTTGTAACCCGAACATTTCCCTATGGTGAACTACCGTATTTATTATATTTTGTAGTTCTTGTGCATTGCCTGCTATTAAGACGGTATCATCAGCATATCTGATGTTGTCTATGCTGATTCCGTTAATCTTAATTCGGCGTTGGACCTCGCCCAATGCTTCTCTGAATATAGACTCCGAATACAAATTAAACAGTAGTATTGATAGGACGCAAAGCTGTCTCACTCCTCGTCGGATTTATATATATATATATATATATATTATATATATATATATATATATATATATAGATATATATATATATAAATATATATTCGGATATTGTGTGCTCTATTTCAATTGTTCCCGTTTGGTGCTAGTATGTTCTGAGATAATTCGCGTCTTGTTCGTCAACTCCAGTTGTTCTCAGAATTTCGATCATCTTTTAATGGTTAACGCACTCAAATGCTTTTCAATAGTCAATAAAACATGCTCATTCATGTCCCTGCATCGTTGCGTTAACACATTTAAAGCAAAAAGAGCCTCTCGTGTTCCCAATCTGTTTCGAAATTCGAATTGAGTATCACTCATCTGGAACTCGCACTTCTTGTAAATTCGTCTATGGATAATTCTGAGAAAAGTTTTAAGGACATGAGACATCAAGCTTAATATTCGATAATCATCGCATTGTGAGGAATTCGATTTTTTTTGGTAATGCTATTAATGTTGATTTTAGCCAGCCTGTTGGTATTTTATCTGCGTCATATATCTTATTGAATAGTGCTGTTATTAACTAGTCTAGGCTTTTACTTTCGTTATCTGCAATTAGTTTTAGTATTTCGACATTGATATTGTCTGCACCGGTGGCTTTTCCATC